TTTCATTCTCTCTTTATGTGGCTAACTAGATCGAGGTCATTAGGTTGTCATTGGAAAGCATATTTTCCAACTGCCACAGGCATGTAGCATCTTTCTCAACGTTTATCACCTCCTTTTTCCTATAAAGAATGCTTAAGACTTGGGATTCCAGTGGTCTTGATTGTCACTTTGTGTAATTTTGCACTCAACCAGTTCACTCGAAGGAGGACACGGAATGTCTGTCTTCTCTGTCCACCAACGGAATTCTTTGTGGAGCTCAAAAGGAAGAAGAAACTGTATGATCTCTGGAAGCAAGGTCAGGCTTTGCAGGAAGAGTACAGAGCTGTGGTTCATTTATGTGGGGAGAAGACACAAAAGGCCAAAGCTCAATTAGAGTTGAAACTGGCCAGTGTTGTTTCAGATAACAAGAAGGGATTTTTAAAGTATGTTAATAGCAGAAGTACATCTAAAGGAAACATTGAACCTATACTTGTTGAAGATTGTCATCTGACTAAATAGGGAGGAAGAAGAAGTGGAGGCATTCACTGTGGTTTTTGCCTCAGTCTTTAATATTGATAGACTGTGGGCTGCCCAGTGCCCTAAGTCAGAGACCATGAGTGTGGAGACTGACTTTCCAGTTGTGGACAGAGAAATTGTAAGGGATGAGACCTGTTAGTTTAACCTCAGATCCTGGGAAAACTATGAAGATGATTACACTGGGTACTATCGAAAGGCATTTAGGGAACAATGCAATCATCAGGCACAGTCAACACGGGTCCACAAAGGGAAGTCCTGTTTAACTAATTTCATAACCTTTTGTGATAGGATCACCTGCCCAGAGGGTGAAGGGAAGGCAGTGGATGTAGTTTTTCTGGATTTTAGTGAGGTTTTTGATATGGTCCCTTACAGCATTCTTCTAGACAAGTTGGCCAACAGTGGGATGAGCAGGTTCATGGTGTGTTGGATGAAGAATTGGCAGAGATCAAAGGGTTGTAGCGAATGGGGCTACATCTGGCTGACCACTGGTCACCCCAGCAGTGCTCCTCGGTTCAATTCTAGGGCCAGTTCTGTTCATATATTTATCAATGACCTGGTTACAGGATTTGAATGCACCATTGGCAAGTTTGCTGATGATACCAAAACAGGAGGTGCTGTTGACTGTCTTGAGATACTGAAGGCCCTGCAGAGAGATCTAGATAGATTGGAGCATTGGGCTATGACTAATGAGATGAAGTTTAACAAGTCAAAATGCTGGATTCAGCACCTGGGATGGAGTAACACTGGGCACAAGTATAAATTGGGAGAGGAGTGGCTGGAGAGCAAGGCTGTCTGTGTTTAAGAGGCATTTGGACAGTGCCCTTAATAATTTGCTTTAACTTTTGGTCAGCCCTGAACTAGTCAGGCAGTTGGACTGGATGATTATTGTAGGTCCTTTCCAACTGTAAATATTCTATTCTATTCTATTCTATTCTATTCTATTCTATTCTATTCTATTCTATTCTATTCTATTCTATTCTATTCTATTCTAATTCCTATTTCCATTTCTATTTCTATTCTACTTTAGGTTGGCACTAGATAAAAACATTGTTAAAGGAGAGACTTCTTTCAGACTGCTACTGAGATACTGTCCTTTTAAGATGTTTACTGGTGTTGTACCATAAGAGCTAAAAGAGCAGCTGCAATGTTGCTACAATATGAGCAACGTGACCCAGAAGTTCCTGGGCTATTTTCCTGAGGTGTCAGCAAACAACTGTACAGATACAAGGCCCCAGGAGTTTCTCTGCATCTTCTGTAGATGCTCTTCTGTCTGCCAGAAAAAAAAACAAACAAACAAACAAACAAACCTGCCCCAAGGGAGCAGTGACATACTTACGGTGGGGGCCTCAACAGGCAAAAGTCAGGGCTCAGAGCTCTCCTGAACAGCTGCTCTCTCTGCACACACTAAGCCAGCAGCCAGTGATGCCACCACTGCTTGAGAAACTCCTGGGAAAAACTGCTTTATAGTTTACAAGATTCATAAAGTGATCTTTCCTATCGAAGGAATAGCCTTGCCTGCCATAGTCATGTCTCATCAGGGGAAGAGAAAGGAAAGTGCTTTTTTGTCCTTTTGGAAAGAACTGTCGATTCAGTGTCATTATTGCAAAAGCAGAAACAGGAGAGAGAAAAAAAAAAAAAAAAAAGAAGAAGAAGAAGAAGAAGGTTTTATATGTTAATGATCATAACAATCATTGGTGACCATAGCTACTAATGGCATAATTTCTTTAACTCACTGAATAGTGACCTTCAGATTTCTCACTGTGGTTGCACTCCTGAATGCTAAAGAAGCCTACCTTGAATATCATGCAAATGGGACTTAAACCACCTGAATGGGGTGGCTGGTGCTGTTTATTTTGGCTCCTTAGTGCTCCAGCTCAGAGCAGACTCTGATGAGATGTTAAACAGAAGTTCTGGCCAGTCATTAGCAAACGTGGGATTTTATTTAGCTGTGTGTCCTGTGCCAATAAGAGTCTTTTGTAACTAGTTCCCTAGTTCACTTTCTTCCCTTTATTTTCTCTGAACGGCCATGTAGAGCTGTTATACGTTAAAACCCAGCTGTTCTCTATCTCCCTATAGTATGTAACGGTTTTATATGAAACAGTGTGTTGAGGTGGTTGAAACTTAAATCTACTGATCTTTTAAAATCCAGTTGCATTGCAATTCAGAATAGAATAAACGCTCACTATGCACATGCAAATTCTGAAAGCATTCTGCTTTGGAAATCTTCAAAATATAATTGTGAAATCTGCTTCACACCATTTGAGGTCAATCTAGATTAAAAACAGTTTATAATGAATAGAAAGCATCCTTGTTCCAATAGATCTCAGTGTAGGTTTTGCCTATATTTGTACCGCTGGAGAGTAACTCATGTCTTAGAAGCTTAATAATTAGATTCACAACAGATGAAAAGTAGCGCTTTCATTAGCATCTCTAGGCTCATTTTCCTCTAGACATGGATCTCTTAACAGATGATTTACTCTAGTTTTCCAGTGGAGTTTTATTGTAAGAATATTTTGTTTCCCTGACTTCCTCCACTTAAGGGATTTAGATTAAAATGTGTCTAGATTTAGTGAACTGTTAATAAGGTTTGTGATTTTTAGGAGATAGGAATATTTAACTATGTATAAAAGAAAATTGATTATATTATTGATCAACATGATGGATCACATTTTAAAATCGGACTAATGCAGATTAAAACCAGAATAATGCAACTAAAATTATTGTAGTTGCTCGAGATTTAAATGAGCAGGACGGATCACTATCTGTATCTGTAAGCAGTGTCTCTTTATAAAAGAGGGATAAAAATAGATGTAGAATATATATATATTGTTTTATATATATTCACCATAAGAATATCCATATTTAATCAATCTAAATGTCCATCTCACTGCTATCATTCTCACTTCAGTGCTGGCCAAACCCCTAAGTAAGCATGCAAGTGCAGAAAAATATTTACAGCTCTTTCTCCCAGCCATAATGTAGGGCTCACGCTCATTCTCATACAAAATCAATGAGACAGTACTTGATATCCTTCAACAGGTTTTTTCTTTCATGGGTTTGTGCAATTCCTTCTCGCACTCAAATTTTGGCATCCCCAATGCGGTGCCAGAAGGACTTACAAAGCTGAAGTACACCCTGTGTGAAGAATCACCTTCCAGCGATTGTTTTCAACCAACCCCGGGTAGTTTTAGTTGAGAGCATGATGTAGACAGAAGGCATTTTAGAGGGCAGTTCCTTCATCCTCAGGCAGAAGGATAGCATTATCGAGTAACACTGAACTCTTGTAAAACAAAACAATAAAAAAAAAATAATCTAGCAACCCTTTGTGCTTTCTCTAGGGTAAATCCAGAGGATGGTTCAGGCTAAGAAATCTCTGCTTAAATTACTGTAAAAGTTCCCAGTGATCCCCAGCATAATGCAATATCTAAGTACAAGACTAGTATCACGCATGCTTTATGCAAGTCTTTGTGGGACACGAGAGGTCTCTAAACCAAAAATTGTGCCCGCTCTTCACCACTTTCTGCCTCAGGGCTCCTACTTGCAGGAAAAGTCCCATTGATACCCTTGGGTTCTGGCTTTATCATTTGGAAGCCCTGCCATGGCAGCAGACACATAGACCTGGAATGACAGAGTCCTTTGGATAGTAGAAATTCTGCAAATACTATAATCTCTCCTTGAATAATGGCCTAGTGACCTTCTACAGAAGCAGACACCCAGAAATTCTTTGTACGAGGGAGAGATTATCAGAAATAACTTATGAGTCATTCTCCTAAAGTAATGAGGAAAAAAAGAAAAATCTTTTTTTCTGTTCTATGCTTTACATTTAAAGCATATTCTTTAAAAAGAAAACATAGTATAGCTTCAAATTCACTACTGGGATGAAGGTGCTTTGATGTCTCGCCTCTCTTGGTTAGGTTACAGCCCAGTCTCCCTACACAGACCAATATTCTTTTAGCGGTGGATCCAGGCCAAAAATCGCCATAAACCCATTTTTATTTTTGTCCATACTGCAATTTCCAGTTCTTTGTCTTCCTTCTCCTCAGGAGAACTTGGCTCCAGGGTCTCTTTGGAACATCTCAGAAAGTAGGTGCACTCCGGAACATCTCAGCATATCTGAGGGATGTTGGATTACCCCCAACCCTGCTTCAGTCTGGAGTCTTTAACACTCATCCTGCATCTCTAATTTATACGGATTTAGGATTCATTAATTAGCATTGCTACGAGATCCATATCAAATTGAACACAACACAAACAGCAGAGAAAAGGGTAATAAGGTGTTTTGTTTGAATATCACCTTGGCTTACATTTAAGGATCCACTGAGGATGTGAGTTCTGAACTCACACACCCTTTAAAGGAAATTATTTTCACAGGCCAGACCTGAGTGTTCAAGCTAAGATAAATTTTTCTTACCATAATCAGCTTCCTCAACTGTCTCCCAATCATCTTACAAAGTATGACAAAAGACTTAGTTAAAAGCTCTTACCTGTGGAAACCGTAGCCAGATCAGTGCTTGACTGAGACCGCAATGATTATGACAACGAACAGCAGGACAGCCAGTGCGACAGTGAGAAGGCAGCACTTCATCTTCCTGGCTCGTAGCTAAGAGGAGAAAGATAAAGAAATAAATACATGGACGTTTAACAGAAAGATGGTGAGCGTTGCTATGTTTTTTTTTTTCCACGGGTAGGACTATTCAAAACAAGTCAACGCAACATGGAGAATTTGCCTATTTTGTTGGTCTGACTCATCCTTCTGGACACTCTGGTTTCTTAATTTTCAGTGAAAATCCCCCTTAAATACAACCAACATGTTACTACCTACATACCTACATACAACCTACATGACTCCCTCCCTGCTTAAATCATTGTATGTGTCACACTAAATTTCCAGGCTCTGTTTGGAGGGCTGGACTTGGGTAAGGTTATCCGGTCTGATTTTGGTCTGGGGCTGTCAAATCTGCTTTCTGGCTGCCAGAAGATGACTGTCTCCTGTAAGACAAAAAGGTCTCTCTCCACCCTGCTGTGCAATGAAATCTAGCCAAGCAGTAAGGCAGGCAGTTTGCAGGGTAGGCACACGTTCCTCCAGCGTTAACTGCCCTGATTTCATTCAAATTAAGATATGGTAAAAGAGTTTCTACAGAGTTTTAATTTTGATATCTTTCTACTTAAACTCATCGGTCTTCCCAGTGGCCTCCACGGACACGATGTTGTCTGTGCCCATTTAAAATCTTATGCAGATCAATTCCTCTTTCTCCTTTTTGCATGGATTAGAAGAAGGGTGTTGACATCATCCCTCGGTATTAGTAATCCTCTTATCCGACACACACACAGACAAAAAATAACTTTAATGAAACAGAGTCAACTCAGACATTTTCCCCGAGACCAGATCAACCAGTCCTCTGGCCACCAGACTTGATAACACCATCCTGACATGATAACATTCTTTTTTTTATTATTATTTTTTTTTCCGAGAGTTCTTTACCTTTCTTAGAACCAAAGTGGAACTTTCACAGGTGAGATTATGCTAATATTACTCCTGTTACCCACTTTTCCAGTCTGCCTCAGATCCTTTGCTAACTGATTTACACCACTCAGCACCACCTTTCTCACAGAGGCATAGCTCCCCAGCTGTTTTGTTCTACAGATTCTCATATAGCGTGTGACAGGAGACTCATCTCTTCCATTGGTGCTCCAAAGTCCAATGCTTCATTCCCCTGCAACTCTCCCTGGGCCCATCTGTTTTGCTGTGCAGAGCTGGAGAAGCGCTTCCAGCAGGGAACTATGATGCACGACCTGTCCTCTCCTCCAGAATCAATCACCAACCCAACTGGTGTTTTTTTTATTAAAGTGTGGATTTCCAGATTATTATTTTTAAACAAATTAAAACGCTGTGATGCCCTGCCTCCAGAGCAGATAATCAGTGATTCATCTTGGCTCTCCATTTGCTTTTCAATTACTCACACAGAAATGTTTTCTTTGGGTTGGGAAAAAAAAAAAAAAAAGAAAAAAAAAAAAAAAAGAAAAAAAAAAGAAAGAAAAAAAAAAAAAAGGTGCTTTAAATATATCATTCCATGTGTATGTGTTTAAGAAGGACGTTTTTGTCAGGTATGCTAGGAAGGGGACACACACACACACACACACACTATTCTCCCCCTCCCCAAAGCCCTACTTGTGGTCAGCCGTTTGCTCACACTTTTCAATCAGTCTGCTGTGACTCTTGGGGGAGAGTAAAGGTGCACATGAGCTATTCCTCTCTTTAACAAAATTTTTCACCCACAAAGTGATGTTTCTTCACAGCTGCTCTGCGCTTTGCAGCCTTCGTTTCTAGAGGGGTAACTACACGTTCTGAAAGCTGGCTGCAGGAGACAGGAGGCTACAGCGTCCTCTTTTCTTTTAACCTGGCTTAATTTCAAGTCAAAACAGAGAACCTCTGCTTCAAACTGCAGAGTATTTTAATGCACCTAGATGTCCTTCTCCACTTCTAAAACGCCAGAGCCTTTGTTTGGTCAGCAGAGGATGCTAATGGGTCATTTAGCTTCAAGCAGCATTCTCAAATATTCCTAAAGAGTTTCAAAGGCTGTACAGTTACCACTTCAGACGTTTTCTCCATCAGCCCCTTTACAGCGATATGCCATTATTTTACTCTTTCTAGCATTCTAAAGTCCTACTCACTCTTATTTTGCACTTTATGTACTCTCCCCCTCTCCTTTTTTCTTGTTTTTAGCCAATATAAAGCAAGCATAAAACTCAACCATAAACAGACTAACAGACTAATCAGAGGGTAGGAGAGATACAGCCAAGCCTGTATTCTGATATTTGGTTCACATTTTATGACCTTGTCCTGGCTGCTAAGTCAGGATAATGATTCCTGCTCTGTTTACAACATTTCTTAGTGGATTTAGAATTAGTGCCCTTCACAGCCATATAATCTGTTGTAGGATTCTCCAGTTAATTCCTAATTCTTTCTTTACTTTATATTTCAATAAGGAAAATGTACAGTTCTTTGAGCCCTTTTGGTCTCCAGTCATAAATCTGTACATGCTGGAGGAGCAATAGAAATACAGCTTCTGAGCCCTGCCTGATCACACAACATTTTCCACACATTGAAGAAGAATGGCCACATAAAAAAAAAAAAAAAAAAAAAAAAAAAGAAAAGAAAAAAAAAGATATTTGAGCAAACGGCAGCAGTTGCTCTCAAGGTACAGATGCACATGCTGCTTCAGGAAGGTCTATGCAAGCATCCCTTCACTTCTCTTGACAGCAACCCTGTCCTGTGAAGAGGACACACCTGCATTTTGTCGAGCTCTTGTGACGCATTCCCTGCCCTTATCGGAGGAGATGCTAGCACACAGCAGGTTGGACAGATTATTTTGTCCACAGTATAGGATCTGCAGACCATGGTATGTGTACTCTCTTCTGAGTATTACATAAATATACACTAACAAACAGCAATCCTTAGTTTAGGTTAACATCCTTAGTTTAGGTTAACAGAATCTGATTGCCAAACTGAGATTATAAATGGTGTCTTATTGGCATCACTGTCATTCCTGAGGGAAGTTGGGAGGAAAAAAAAAAAACATCCCTATATCTTGAATAACCCCAAGGCACCTACACACACTTGGAAGCACATGAACATCAGAAATGTAAGCACTCAACACCTACGAGTTATATTTCCCATGTCTGAATATATAGGTAGAATTTTTTCCCCTCCTTCCCAAGTAGGATCTTCGCCTTATTCAATAAATATGTAATTATTATGATATGTCTATCATGTATGTTTATAAATTTTATTTATCTACTCAAGATTTCTTGGGACATCCATCTAAATCCATGTTTCCATGGATCCACATGAATCCACATGGATCCACATGAAATCACACAAACCTTTCAGTTAACACAAAGTTCCTAATTTTCCCCTGGGAGTTCCATGACAGCAGAATCATATAATTAATACTTTCTATCACAAACATCAATGCAGTGATAGGTTTATGTCCATTTAAGCCAAGGAAGTGCAGACACATGCCATGGGTAGAAGTATAGCTGGTCCCAAGAGAATTCCAATTCTCCAACAGAAAAGATAGAAGAACAAATGCGATTCATGATGCCATCCCTTGAATCTAGGTTAATCTGAGCTTACATGGAAATGGTAAACCATTTCCAAAACTCTAACGGGTTCATTTCTCACCAGAGAAGTCATGAGATGGTTACTACTAGATTTCTGTCTCAAACAGCAGAGCCACAGTCACAGAAAGTTTAAGGAGAGAAAAAAATAAAAAATAAAAAAATCAAAACTTAAGCCACCTGTAAAATGAGTAATTTATTTTACGACATAAATCTTCGGGGAGCTTTGCATTTTTATAACATTTCCCACGCATCCGACTAATCCGCAGTTGATTTCATTTGTCTTTTTCCAGCTCTTTCTCCACTCAACTGCTGAAGATCTTTCTTTCACGCTGTGCATTAATGCGATTCTCTGTTCTCCTTGACTTTCCTGGACTCCAGCATAGGAAGCTTCGAGGCAATGTGATTTCCCCTCAGTTCCTGAAACCTACACCCATAATTGCTTGCAGTAGCAATAATAAGATAATTTTGACCAACATCTTCCACTTTCACTTGAAGCATACTTAGCTGCTTCCCAAAGAAAAGACACACCTAGGACTGTTGGCACAGCAGACGTATCAAAAGCTGATTTATACTCTTGGTACAAACTAAATTTTGAGGCTGTTCCCACTAAATTCAAAGAAGTATCAAGAAAAACTGAGATAATAAGGTTTTGTTTTGGGGTTGGTTCTTGTTTGGTTTTTTTTTGGTTTTTGTTTTGTTGTTGTTGTTGTTGTTGGCTTTTTTTTTTTTTTTTTGAGAGAGAGAGAGACTTGGAGGTTTTGCCAAACACTCCTAGAAGTGACAACAAGGTAGGGTTGCTTTCTCCATTTATTTTCCTGATAAGTTGCAAAGCTCTGTCTACATAGAGGAGGCACTAGAATTTAACAAAACCTCCTAAAGCCCATGTTCCTCACAGAGAAACATCTTTCCCAAAACTCCATTTTGGAAAATGTTGATTCCCTTTAACCATCACTTAAAATGAGTATCTAACTAGAGATATAAAAATCAATGGCACAAACAAAATTTCAGGCTGAATTTGGGAAAAATTTAAAGCTACCAGAAAGTATTATCTTCTGCTAGAAAAATTATGAGAAATAATTATAAGCAGCACTATCTGATTTCATTTTAATTACATTAGGTTATTCTGAACCTTGAATGGGATGCTGTTGCCTTGCTCTGGTTTTATAGCTCTGTCCCAACCTGTTGTAAACCCATTTCCCATAACACCTAGAATCTGTTGATTAAATTGGAGCTAATCTCTTTTCATTGTACACATTTTCCCAAGATGAAAAGAATGCAGCTTGGGACAAAAAAAACAAACAAACAAACAAACAAAAAAAACCCAAAAAAACCCACCTCTAGTAAGACGTAATGGATTCTTACAGTTATTTTTGCCAGGCTCTCAGGGTTTTTAAGTAAAACCTTATAGGTAAAGATATATTTTAATCCTGAGAGAGGTTCTTTAAACACACATGTGAAACAGGAGTGAAAAGCAGG